ATGGCCTAGTATGTGGTCAATCCTAGAGAAGCTTCCATGTACTGCTGAGAAGAATGTAAAATCTTTAGCTGTAGGATTGAAAGTTCTGTATATATCTGTTAGATCCATTTGGGCTATAGTGTCGTTTAAATCTACTGTATCCTTGTTGATCTTCTGACCGGATGATCTGTCTATTTCTGAGAGTGGAGTATTGAAGTCCCCCAGTACTACTGTATTGCGGTCTAAGTCTCCCTTTAAGTCCGTTAATAAATCTTTTAGATAAACTGGTGCCCTGTAGTTAGGTGCATATACATTGATAATTGTTATATCTTCCTGTTGAATTGATCCCTTAATCATGATATAGTGTCCCTCTTTGTCTCTCTTAACAGTTTTTGTGGTAAAGTTTATGTTGTCCGATATTAAGATGGCTACGCCCGCCTTTTTTTCATTTCTGTTGGCATGGTATATCTTTTCCAGCCTTTCACTTTCAGTCTGTATGGATCTTTGTTGGAAAGATGTGTTTCTTTTAAGCAGCAAATAGATGGGTTTTGTTCCTTAACCCAATCAGCCAATCGGTGTCTTTTAACTGGACAGTTCAGGCCATTCACGTTCAAAGTGACTAATGATAAGTGGTAACTTTGCCCTGCCATTTGCCAAAGATAAGTTCTAATATATGCTTTGAATTCCCTGTGATCTTTTGCTGTGAGGTTTCCTTCCTTGGTTTCCTTCCTTTACCTTCTTTCATATTGATGACCGTGTTTCTGTGTTTCTGTGTGTAACACATCTTTAAGCATCTTTTGCAGGGCTGGACGAGTGGCAACAAATTCTTTCAATTTCTGTTTGCAATGAAAAGTCTTTATTTCACCTTCATTCACAAATGATAGCTTTGCAGGATATAATATTCTGGGCTGGCAGTTTTTCTCTCTTAGTACCTGGGCTATATCTCGCCATTCCCTCCTAGCTTGTAGAGTTTCTGATGAGAAGTCAGCTGTGAGTCTGATTGGAGATCCTCTGAGAGTAATCTGACGTTTCTCTCTTGCACATTTTAGGATCTTTTCTTTATGTTTCACGGTGGAGAGTTTAATTACAACGTGTCGTGGTGAGGATCTCTTTTGGTCGTGTTTATTAGGGGTTCTGTGGGCTTCCTGTACTAGGATTTCTCTGTCCTTCTCCAAACCTGGGAAATTTTCTGCTAATATCTCACTAAAAAGGCCTTCTAATCCTTTCTCCCTCTCCATGCCTTCAGGAACTCCTAGAACCCGAATGTTGGGTTTTTTAATAGTATCCTGAAGATTCCCGACAATATGTTTCAGATTTCTAATTTCCTCTTCTTTTCTTTGGTCTGACTGTATCCTTTCCTGTTCTCTGTCTTCTAAGTCCGATATTCTCTCTTCTGCTTCACCCATTCTGTTTGTAAGGCTCTCTATTGTGTTTTTCATTTGATCTATTGAATTCTTCACTTCAGTCACTATCACAGTTTCCTGTTGTACTAGTTGTTTCATTTCATTTTGATTCCTCCTTAATATTTCATTTTCACGAGAGAGATTTTCTATCTTGTCCATTAAGGATTTGTGTAGTTCCAGAATTTGTTTTTGAGAACTTCTTAATGTTCTTATCAATTTTTTGAGATCTGCTTCCTGCATTTCTTCTATGTCATCATCTTCATAATCTTGAATTGCGGTGTCTTTTTCATTTGAGGGCGTCATGGTGACTTCCTTGTTTTTATTACCTCGGTTTTTGCGTTTGTTATTTGGCATATTGGAGATATTTGGTTTCTTCACTGTGGTGCTTTTTCTTGTTATACTATGACTCTAGATTAAGTGGACTATCTGTTTTTGATGGAGCCTTAGGGCTTGAGATGGGTGTGGCCTGAGAGCTCTGTTTGGTGTGCCAAAGGTGACACTCCCAGGTTAGGCGTGGTAAATCTCTCTCTCTCTCTCTTTTTTTTTTTTTTTTTGATTCAAAAGGGAAGTAATTCCGCACAGCTGAACGAAGTTGGAGGTAGTTAGCAGGCAAATGATATACCCACAGGAGCCAGAGATCAGAAGCTCTTTCCCAAGATCCCCACAGGGAATCTGTTCGGCCCTCAGAGTGGGCTCAAATTCTCCTTCAGCCTCCCACTGGGTTGCCAAAGTTACGGAATTGTAGCGTCTCTGGAGAGTGCTCACGTGAATTCCGTGAGTTCTCTCCCCCACCATCTCTTTTTTCACAGTCTCAGTTCAGTAGCACCACAAATTTACTAGCTCCTAATCTCCTGTTAATTCGCCCCGGCCAGAGTCAGGTTTTTCTGCTAGGCTCAGGGCCGGTGCAGACCTGAGGTCGCTCTGCTTATGACGTATGTCCAAGATGGCGCCTGCTCTTTGTCTTGCTCGCCCTTGAGAGGTGAGCGGAGAGAGAGAAACCCGTGTCCGCACCAGTCACCCTTTTTTCTCTCTCTCTCTCTCTTCCAGTTAGCCTTGTGAACTTCCCCCCCCCCGGGGGGTCGTTCCCTCTAGTCTCCTCTCTCCGCTTGCCTGCCGGTGTCTCGGGCTATTGAGGTTCAGCTCACCTCGCATTCCAGCGCTGGTGTGTTGAGTCTGCCGCTGATGTCCCGAACTGTGGGCTCCCACGCTCTCCACGCAGGTCCGCTGTGAGTCACGCGTTCCGGAAGAGTTTCTTCTGCTGTTTCCTCCCCTACTCTTCCTTGAACCTGCAGTATCTCCACTTTTATTAAACTATCTCTCCCCAGACTATCAGTGTGCTCCCTTCCTATTCCACCATCTTGCCGGAAATCTCCTGATATGGTTTTCCTTGAAGTTATTTTCTTTGGTATTTAAATTCTTGGCAGAAATGTCTTTTGCTCTATTTGAGAGGTTTTCACCCATTTTTTAAAAAAGATTTATTTATTTATTTGAGAGGTAGAGTTACAGATAGAGAGAGGGAGAGACAGAGACAAAGGTCTTCCATCCACTGGTTTACTCCCCAAATGGCTGCAATGGCCGAACTGGGTCAGGCTGAAGCCAGGAGCCAGGAGCTTCTTCTGGGTCTCCCAAGTGCATACAGGGGCCCAAGGACTTGGGCCATCTTCTTCCCCTTTCCCAGGCCATAGCAGAGAGCTGGATCAGAAGTGGAGCATCTGGGACTCAAACCAGTGTCCATATGGGATGCCAGCACCGCATGGGGGAAGACTTAACCCACTAAGCAACAGCACAGGCCCCTCACCCACTCTTTAAATAGTTTTTGTTCACCAGTTTGTTTCTCCTTCCCTATTATTCTAATGATATGGATGTTAGACCTATTGAGATTGTGCCATAGGCCACCAAGTTCATGTTTCTGTTTTTGTTTTCGTTTTTCTCTGTGACTTAGACTGGATAATTTTATTACATTATCTTCAAGTTCCCTGAATCTCTTCTCTTTCATCTCCTTTATGCTTTTGAGGCCATGCAGTGACATTTTCTCTCAAATACTGTATTATTCAATTTGATGGCCAGACGTAAGGGTGGTAGAGAAGGAGAATAGTCTATAATCCCACCAAGGTAATGGAGGGGTTGGATGGTGAGGTGGTTGATGGTACCCATTCCTGAGGAATGGCAAGGATGAAGGTGATAATATACATGGATGTGTTCACCCTCCAATGGCCGCCGCGGCCGGCACGCTGTGGCCGGCGCACCGCACTGATCCAAAGGCAGGAGCCAGGTGCTTCTCCTGGTCTCCCTTGGGGTGCAGGGCCCAAGCACTTGGGCCATCCTCCACTGCACTCCCGGGCCATAGCAGAGAGCTGGCCTGGAAGAGGGGCAACTGGGACAGAATCCGGCGCCCCGACCGGGACTAGAACCCGTGTGCCGTCGCCGCAAGGCAGAGGATTAGCCTATTGAGCCACGGCACCGGCCAATACTATTTATTTTTAAAACTATATTTCAGCATATATGTGTGTGTACATAATAGACTAAGATGTGGGTACATTGCTTACTGAAATGTTTCAAACATGTTTAAAAATAATTTAAACTTTGATGATAAGATTTCTCAGTGTGTGAATAATACACCTGTGACTGATCCTAGTGGTTTCTTGTCGCTCCCCCTCTTCATGGAGGAACGACACTAAACCCTGCCTAGGCTTCATATCCGAGTCACGGCACCATTATGTCGCTCCCCCTCTTCATGGAGGAACGACACAGGACTCTGCGCTGTTCTTTCGTCTGCTCGGCCCTCCCTGGGTTTGCTGCTGGTTCTTCCCGGGTTGGCTACCGTCCCTTCCACCTCCGTGGAAGGGCGGTTCCCCCTGCCACTTTCCCCACTTCCACGGGGGAGTGGCACACCGCCGGCCGGCTCTCTCGGGGGCTGCACAGGTGTTCCTTCAGATAGATGTTCCCCTTAGATGTTCCTGGTGCATGTTGTCTCTCTCCTCCTTTATAGTCCTCTTCCACCAATCCCAACTCTGCTACCCACACGCCGAGTACGCTGCTCTCCTCCAATCAGGAGCAGGTCCTGCTGTTTATTGGTTGAACTGGAGGCAGCTGTGTAGAAGCTGTTTCTCCCTTCTCAGCGCCATATTGTGGGAGAGCAGATGCATAGAACAAGTCTCAATTCCAGTAACTTAGTCTAGTCCGAGTTGCTCCCCACAGTTTCTGATATCTAATTCCTGTATTCTCAGATGAAGTTTAGGATACAGCCATAAATTCTGTAATTCTTATTTTCTACTACAACACATATTTTGTATTGAGTGGATTAGGAGCTTAGAGATATATCCTTTGGGCTATGTTGTGAATTTACTTTCTCATAACCTGGCATACTGCCGCTTCATTACATCTATGAACTCACTCTGAGCTATGATTTCACTTGGAAATGCTTCTAGTAGAACCAGCTGCTTGATAGGGACACCATTTCATCCTGCAGGCTGGAACCTGTTCTGATTAGTGCCCTGGAAAGAACTTGGATTTTGAGGAAAAGTTAGGAACAGTCTGAACATGAAAGCTCTTTTCTCACAGGTCCATATTGAAGTTTATTAAACTCACAACTTCCTATTTCTCTTCATGTCTTCTCAGAAAGTGATTCCTCGTTTGAAAGGACCTGAGTGTGGACCTGAGTGCAGTGGGCATGGCTGCTGCCTCCCCGCTGAGAAACCTGGAGGACGAGGTGCTGTGCTCCATCTGCCTTGACTTCTTGAGAGACCCAGTGACCATTGACTGTGGTCATGTCTTTTGCTACCACTGCATCATTAAGGTCTGTGAATCTTCTAGGCAGCCGTTAAACTGTTCTCTTTGCAAGGCAGCTTTTAAGAAGGAGAACATGCGCCATGTGTGGCAGATGGCCAGCTTGGTGGAGAACATCTGGAGGATGAAGGTAGATGAGGAGAGACAACCCAGAGAGGAAAGACCGCCTGAGCAGAAGGCAGCGAAGCTGTGTGGGCGACACCTGGAGAAGCTGCACTACTACTGCAAGGACGACCAGCAGATCCTGTGTGTGATGTGTCGGGAGTCCCGGGAGCACCGGCACCACGCCGCCGTTCTCTTGGAGAAGGCTGCACAGCCTTATCGGGTGAGAACCCTGTGGGACCTCAGCTCTGTCCTGGTAGCCAAAAAAGTTCTCAACCTTCAGGATAAGGTCCAACTTTTAAAGCCACTTTTTGAGGTATAATTGACATATAAAAAGCTGTATGTATTTAATGTATACAAATCATTGAGTTTGGGGTTAGTATATACCTGTGAAACCATCACCACCATCAAAGCCATACACATACCCATCACTTTCCAGAGTTTCTTCTCACTCCCTTTATTATGATGTCTTTGTGTGTGTGTATGGTAACAACACTAAAGAGCCACCCTTTTTACAAATCTTGAGTATATGATACAGAATTGTTAGCTGTATGCTGCACAGGAGATCTCCAGAATCTCCCTTGCATAACTGAAACTTTGTTCACTCTTGTCACCGCCCTAGGCCCTCTCCCCAGGAGCCCCAGGCAACGACCATTCTACTCTCTGCTTACATGGACTATTTTAGACCCACATACAAGTTAGATCATACAATATGATACTAAGATACAATACTTCACTAAGCATGTGTCTTCTAGGTCCATCCACATGGCCGCAAATGGCAGGATTCCCTTCTTTTTAAAGGATGGGTAATACTCCATTGTATGTATATACCACGTTTCTTTATCCATTCATCCATTGCTGGACCTTTAGATTGTTATCACGTGTTTGCTATTGTGAATAACGCTGCATTGAACATGGAAGTGCAGACATTCTTTGAGATACTGATTTCACTCTGGATAAATACCCAGAAATAATAATAATAATAAAAAAAACCAAATACCCAGAAGTGGGATTTCTGTATCATACGGTAGTTATGTTTTTAATTTTTTGAGGAAACTTTATTCTGCTTTTATAATGACTATCAGTTTATATTCCTACCAGCTGTGCATCTGGGTTCCCTGTCTGTATCCATACCCACACTTGTTCTGTTTTTATTCTTTAATAATAAACATTACAGGGGATAGCGCTGTGGCGTAATGGGTAAAGCTGCCACCTGCAGTGCCGGCATCTCATATGAGCGCCAGTTCAAGTCCTGGCTGCTCCACTTCCAATCCAGCTTTCTGCTATGGCCTGGGAAAGCAGTAGAAGATGGCCCAAGTCCTTGGGCCCCTGCACCCACGTGGGAAGACCCAGAAGAAGCTCCAGGCTCCTGGCTTCAGATCGGCACAGCTCCGGCCATTGCAGCCAACTGGGGAGTGAATCAATGATGGAAGATCTCTCTTTCTCTCTGCCTCTCCTTCTCTCTCTGTGTAACTATGACTTTCAATAAATAGATAAGTATTTAAAAAAATGAACAAGAAGGCTGAGGTGATGGTCCAAATTCTTTAGTATGGGATTGTTTCTCTGCCTTTTGGCTAAGATCAGGTGTAGTATGGGAGGTTCTTGGTAAAGTGCCACTCTGAATTTGATAATAAAACTGATTTGTTTCCATATCAGCTTATGGTAGTCCCATTGCCTTGATGCTTTAGTTTCTAAGGCATTCAGATCAAATGTAAATCAGCAACAGAGAATACTAGTATTACTGGTATCTCTCAGTTTTTACAAGGATAATTCCAAAAGATCATGGAGGGGCTGGCACTGTGGTATAGTGGATTAAGCCGCCACCTGCAGTGCTGGCATCCCATATGGACGCTGGTTCTAGTCCTGGCTGCTCCACTTCTGATCCAGTTCTCTGCTATGGCCTGGGAAAGCAGTAGAAAGATGGCCCAAGTGCTTGGGCCCCTGCACCTGTATGGGAGACCTGGAAGAAGCTCCTGGCTCCTGGCTTCGGATTGGCCCAGCTCCAGCTGTTGTGGCCATTTGGGAAGTGAACTAGTGGATGGAAGACCTCTCTCTCTTTCGCTCTCTATGTAACTCTTTCAAATAAATAAATAAATCTTTTTAAAAAATCCTATATATGGATTTCAAAGAATTTTTGCATTAAAATAAACTTGTTTGTTTTTAAAATATCTGTTTATTTATTTGAAAGTCAGAGTTACACAGAGAGAGAAGGAGAGATAGAGAGATCTTCCATCCGCTGGTTCACTCACCAATTGGCCGCAAGAGCCACAGCTGTAGCAATCCGAAGCCAGGAGCCAGGAGCTTCTTCCAGGTCTCCCAGGTGGGTGTAGGGGCCCAAGAACTTGGGTCATCTTCCACTGCTTTCCCAGGCCATAGCAGAGAGCTGGATTGGAAGTGGAGCAGCTGAGACTCGAACTGGCACCCATATGGGACGCCGGCACTGCAGGCGGCAGCTTAACCTGCTATGCCACAGCGCTGGCCTCTAAACTTGTTTCTATTTTCCACAAATTTTTTGAGGTATCGTCTTAAAAACTATAATGTAATTCTTAGTGGTTGTATAATGATAGTAGATTATTTTATCTCACTTCTAGACAGCTGCTATAAGCCAACATAGTTCTCATTTTGTTTCTTCATCGTTCACTAGAATGGAAACTGTGACTCTTACTACACACTGGAAGGTCAAACACCATCTGATTTCATTATGGAATCACTTTGTGTGCCCTTTCTTAATTGAGGCCATTTTCATCTTGATACTGAGATTCTTCATGTTTGCTTCCATAGGGTAAAATTCTAAATCACCTGAAGGTTCTGAAGGGAGACAGAGATAGAATTCGGAATTTTCAGTCCACAGGAGAGGATGAAATTCAGGCCCTGCTGGTAAGAAAAGGCTTGAGTGAATGCCCTGTGTACATGTGAATGGGGTAGGGGTGTGTGTGTGTGTGTGTGTGTCTAGGTTGAGGGGGAAGGAAGTGAATGGACTTATTTTTTTTAAACTTTTATTTAATAAATATAAATTTCTTAAGTACAGCTTTTGGATTATAGTGGTTCTTCCCCTCCGTACCCGCCCTCCAAATCCAAAACCAGCCCACCTCCTATTCCTTCTCCCATCCCATTCTTCATCAAGATTCATTTTCAATTATCTTTATATACAGAAGATCAACTTAGTATATACTAAGTAAAGACTTCAACAGTTTGCTCCCACACAGACACACAAAATATAAAGAACTGTTTGAAGACTAGTTTTACCATTAATTCTCATAGTACAACACATTAAAGACACAGGTCCTACATGGGGAGTAAGTGCACAGTGACTCCTGTTGTTGATTTAACAATTGATACTTTTATTTATGATGTCAGTGATCACCCGAGGCTCTTGTCATGAGCTGCCAAGGCTATGGAAGCCTCTTGAGTTCACAAACTCCAACCTTATTTAGACAAGGCCATAGTCAAAGTGGAAGTTCTCTCCTCCTTTCAGAGAAAGGTACCTCCTTCTTTGATGGCCGGTTCTTTCCGCTGGGATCTCACTCACAGAGATGAGATCTTTCATTTAGGTGTGTGTGTGTGTGTGTGTTTTTTTTTTTTTTTTTTTTTTTTTTTTTTTTTTTTTTGCCACAGTGTCTTGGTTTTCCATGCCTGAGAAACTCTCATGGGCTTTTTTGCCAAATCTGAATTCCTTAGGGCTGATTCTGAGGTCAGAATGCTCTGTATGGCATCTGCTGTTCTGTGAGTCTGCTGTGTATCCCGCTTCCCATGTTGGATCATTCTCTCCTTTTTAATTCGATCAGTTATTATTAGCAGACACTAGTCTTGTTTATGTGATCCCTTTGACACTTAATCCTATTATTATGATCAGTTATGAACTGAAACTGATCACTTTGACTAGTAAGATGGCTTTGGTACATGCCACCTTGATGGGATTGATTTGGAATCCCCTAGCATGTTTCTAGCTCTACCATTGGGGTAAGTCTAAGTGAGCATGTGCCAAACTGTACATCTCCTCCCTCTCTTATTCCCACTCTTATTTATAACAGGGATCACTTTTCAATTAAATTTAAACACCTAAGAATAATTGTGTGTTAATTAAAGAGTTCAACCAATGGTATTAAGTAGAATAAAAAAATACTAAAAGGAATAAAAAAGTAAATTGTCCCTCGACAGTCAGGACAAGGGCTGACCAAGTCATTGTTTCTCATAGTGTCTGTTTCACTTCTACAGGTTTCCTTTTAGGTGTTCAGTTAGTTGTCACTGATCAGGGAGAACATATGATATTTGTCTCTTTGGGACTGGTTTATTTCACTCAGCATGATGTTTTCCAGATTGCTCCATTTTGTTGCAAATGACCAGATTTCTTTCTTTCTTTTTTTACTGCTGTATAGTATTCTATAGAGAACATATCCCATAATTTTTTATCCAGTCTTCCGTTGATGGGCATTTAGGTTGATTCCATGTCTTAGCTATTGTGAATTGAGCTGCAATAAACATTAGGTGCAGACAGCTTTTTTGTTTGCCAATTTAATTTCCTTTGGGTGAATTCCAAGGAGTGGGATGGCTGGGTCATGTGGTTGGGCTATATTCAGGTTTCTGAGGAATCTCCAGACTGACTTCCATAGTGGCTTGACCAGTTTGCATTCCCACCAACAGTGGATTAGTGTTCCTTTTTCCCCACATCCTCGCCAGCATGGGTTGTTAGTTGATTTCTGTATGTAAGTCATTCTAAGGTGAGGTGAAACCTCATTGTGATTTTGATTTGTATTTCCCTGATGGCTAGTGAATGGATGGACTTCTTATTCAGAACTTATCCCCAGAGTATGTCACAAATGTCTGGTGTTTCCTAGCCTTTCAGAACAAATCATCTTTTTCTTTTCCTGCATTTACTGTAGACAAAATTCCAGAACCACAAGCAAGACATTGCATCCGTGTTTGAACAGGGCCATCAATTCTTGAGAGAAAGGGAGCAGTACCTTTTGGAGTGGCTGGTGGGGCTGGAGCAGGAGCTCACGGAAGGGAGGAATAGCCACGTCACCAAGGGCTCCGAGGAGGTGGTCCGGCTCAGGGCTTTGATCACAGACTTAGAGAAGAAGGCTCGGCAGCCAGCACTTGAACTTTTGCAGGTGAGGGACCAGCCAAACTCTATCTGAATGCTTTTGCTCCAAGCCACAGTGTTCCCTCTTCCTTAGCAAGAGATTTGGACCAGGAGTCAAGACAGCCAATGTTTTATTCTCATTTGTTGAGTGCTTTAATAAGTTCTTCAGTCCACCAATAGGTTTAAAGCCTTACATTGCCATCGGCAGGGGACTGTAATATGCAGACCATATAGTGTAGTAGCAAGACATACACAAATAATTGAGTGCTAAACCTTGTGACCTGACTGGAGGCCACAGGAATTCTGGGAAAAGCTAGAATTTAGTCAAGGAAGTCTTCACATAAGAATAAGCTCTTGCTGTTGGCCCTGAAGAAAATATATAGATTTGGATTATCAGAAAGGAAGAGCTGAACATTCTACTTGGTGGGGGAGGGAAGTAGATTGGTTAGAATTAGGTAAATGAATGTGATAATAAACTTGGTGCATGTGGGCAGGTGAATGTAGTTACTTAGGAAGCTAAGGACAGGAAGCTGAAGGGAATATAGGAAAGGGACATGTAAGTAAAGTGAAGAGAACTACCTTTCTGGTGAGGGAGTTTAAATGAGGGACAAGTTAAAAGGAAGTTGAGATAGCTAAGATGGGGTCAACAGAGACCTTCCAAGGCAGATGAGATTTCAGTCTTGATAGACAGAGGTTCTTAGTGGATTATTGTCTGTGTGTGGACCAGGAAAGGTTTCCTGGAGAGTCTAGAACTCAAAGGAGGAAAAGAGGGAGAAGCATGTGTCCCTGCAAGCTGGTACCACAGGGGAGAGCAGAGCAGGTTCAGGCCCATCAGAATAATGCACTCTTCAGTGCTGTTGATCACCCCTTCATGCTGAGTATGCCCAGGGGTGGCGATGGCTCCTGAGCGTGCCCAGGGGTGGGGATGGCTCCTGAGTGTGCCCAGGGATGGTGATGGCTCCTGAGTGTGCCCAGGGGTAGGGATGGCTCCTGAGTGTGTCCAGGGGTGGCGATGGCTCCTGAGTGTGCCCAGGGGTGGTGATGGCTGTTGAGTGTGCCCAAGGATGGTGATGGCTGCTGAGTGTGCCCAGGGGTGGGGATGGCTCCTGAGCACGCCCAGGGATGGTGATGGCTCCTGAGTGTGCCCAGGGGTGGCGATGGCTCCTGAGTGTGCCCAGGGATGGCGATGGCTCCTGAGTGTGCCCAGGGGTGGCGATGGCTCCTGAGTGTGCCCAGGGGTGGGGATGGCTCCTGAGTGTGCCCAGGGGTGGCGATGGCTCCTGAGCACACCCAGGGATGGTGATGGCTCCTGAGTGTGCCCAGGGGTGGCGATGGCTCCTGAGCACGCCCAGGGATGGTGATGGCTCCTGAGTGTGCCCAGGAGTGGCAATGGCTCCTGAGTGTGCCCAGGGGTGGCGATGGCTCCTGAGCACGCCCAGGGATGGCGATGGCTCCTGAGTGTGCCCAGGGGTGGCGATGGCTCCTGAGTGTGCCCAGGGGTGGCGATGGCTCCTGAGTGTGCCCAGGGGTGGTGATGGCTCCTGAGTGTGCCCAGGGGTGACGATGGCTCCTGAGCGTGCCCAGGGGTGGTGATGGCTCCTGAGCGTGCCCAGGGGTGGCGATGGCTCCTGAGCGTGCCCAGGGATGGTGATGGCTCCTGAGCGTGCCCAGGGATGGTGATGGCTCCTGAGTGTGCCCAGGGGTGGTGATGGCTCCTGAGTGTGTCCAGGGGTGGCGATGGCTCCTGAGTGTGCCCAGGGATGGCGATGGCTCCTGAGTGTGCCCAGGGGTGGTGATGGCTCCTGAGTGTGCCCAGGGGTGGCGATGGCTCCTGAGTGTGCCCAGGGGTGGCGATGGCTCCTGAGCACCTTATTTCTGTGACAGTGTTTGTCCTCTTCCTTTCAGGATCCAAGTGACATATTAAGCAGGTAAATGCTTCTTCATTTTTGTGTTTTTTTTTAAAAAACTACTTATGATGTCTCTTTCTTTTCTCTTTCTTGTTATTTAAATTTGATAAGGACTAGAAAGTGTTTTTTTTTTTAAGATTTATTTTTCTATTTGAAAGTCAGAGATACACAGAGGAGAGGGAGAGGGAGAGAGAGAGAGAGAGGTCTTCCATCTGATGGTTCACTCCCCAGTTGGCCGCAATGGCTGGAGCTCCGCCGATCCAAAGCCAGGAGCTTCTTCCGGGTCTCCCAGGCGAGTGCAGGGTCCCAAGGGCTTGGGCCATCTTCTACTGCTTTCCCAGGCCATAGCAGAGAGCTGGATCGGAAGTGGAACAGCCGGGACTTGAACCGGCACCCATATAGGATGCTTGCACTTCAGGCCAGGGCGTTAACACGTTGCACCATGGCGCCAGCCCCAAAAGTGGGTTATTTCAAGGTAAGAGAGACTCCTACTAGGGTAAGTTGAAAGGTATTCCATGAAATGGGGAAGGGAGTTACAGAAAAATTATTCATGAAATTCATGTAAGGATGGTAATGAGCTAAGAAATAAATGAAATGGGAGATTATAGAAGAGTATTAGAGAAAATTTAGAATTCTAAAACCCAATTTCTTTTCATTCTTGTCTTTCCCACATGGTTCCCAGCTGCTACTCCTGGTCACAGCTTCCCCTACACAGCACATTTCATTATCAGATTGCCCTCCATGCTCAACAGTGATGATTTCCTGTGCTCTGACTGTTCACTGAAAGAAGACACTTGTGTAGGTCATAGGATCAATGATGTGTCTGATAGTGGATCTGAGGATACGTATGTTAAACACTTAACACCGACAGTTTTCAAGACCATATCCATATGATACACAGAAGCTTTAGACAGATTAAAAAGTCAAGCACTTTGATTGCACACCACTCATCTCCAAAGACGGCCAGGACTCAGCATCTGGTGAGCATTTAGTCTGTGAAACGGACATTGGGTATAAAGGAAGTAATGAGCTAGGTTACCAGATCCTAGCTGGGGGGACTAGACACACATGTTACAGATGAGTAATCACATAAGAAATGAGGCTCAAACACACTAGGTAATGCTTCTTGCCTTGACATATTTTGTCTGATACTAATAAAATTATCCCAGCTTTCTTTTGACTCGTTTGCATAGTATTTCTTTTTCTATCCTTTAATTCTCAATCTTTCTACACTTTTAATAAATGCATTCTGACACTTTTTATTTAATGGAATATTTAGTATTTATATCTCCTAGAAAATCACCATATTTTTGAAATTATTTGCACAACCAAAATTATATGTTTAAATGTATTCATTTTACTTTTTATATATGAACATTTAAAACCTCTTATTTTGTGCATTTCTACTTCTATTTCATCTACTTTCTACCTTTTTAAAAAATATTTATCTATTTGAAAGGCAGAGTTACAGACAGAGGAGAGACAGAGAGAGCAAGATCTTTATTTTTTTAAAAGATTTATTTTATTTATTTGAAAGACAGAGTTACAGAGAGAGGTAGAGCCAGACAGAGAGAGGTCTTCCAACCACTGGTTCACTCTCCAAATGACTGCAACAGCCAGAGCTGAGCTGATTGGAAGCCAGGATCCAGGAGTTTCTTCTGGGTCTCCCACGTGGGTACAGGGGCCCAAGGAGCTGGGCCATCTTCTACTGCTTTCCCAGGCCATAGCAGGGAGCTGGATCAGAAGTGGAGCAGCCGAGACTTGAACTGGTGCCCAAATGGGAAGCCGGTGCTGCAGGCTGTGACTTTAACCCGTTGTGCCACAGTGCCAGCCCCGAGTGAGATCTTCTATCCGCTGATTCACTCCCCAAATGACCACAATGGCCAGGGCTGGTACGGGCTGAAGCCAGGAGCCTGGAGCTCCATCCAGGTCTCCCCCATGGTGACAGGGACCCAAGTACTTAGGCCATCATCCACTGCCTTCCCAGGCACAAGCAGGAAGCTAGATTGGAAGTGGAGCAGCCAAGGCTCAGTCTCTGATATGGGATGCTGGAATTGTAGTGGTGACTTAGGCTCACTGCACCATAATGCTGCCCCCATTTTTTTCTATTTTTAATGGATTGTTGGTTTTTAGCTGTATGCCCTGCCTTTGCTGTATACCATAATATCTAGTATTATAAAATACATAATATTGTTTATTTTAATTGTTTTCTAGGTATTTTGAACTTTTGAATTTGAGTTGCTCTTTAACATAAGATTTAAGAATGTTATTTGTCATTGATGTTGTTCGTTAGTAGATGTTTTGTTTCATTAGTTTTTTTTTTCATTAGTTTTTTAATCTTGTAATTAGAAAAAACTGTTGCTTTCTTCTAGACTTTTTTGTAGATTTCTATGTTGTAAATTTTTGTGATTGTTCCAAACTCTTGAAAATAAGGTACATTCACTGTTTTCTTCTAATAAGATTTGATATTCATCTATCTCCATGATGTTTTCCTTTGTAATTTTGTTATTTAAATGCTTCATTGTGATACTTATTTTTTTAACTTTTTAATATAACCTGGGCTAAGAGAGGCCCCTTACTGAAATATTTTTCTTATTATAGTGTTTGCTTTTTATATTTTGATGCTTTTTTCTCCTCTGCATGAGCTTTAGGAAAGTTATATCTTAATTATAGATTATAATACTTTAAGTAACATAAAATACCCTTTATTGTTATAATATTTTTCTTCCTTTAATTCTATCTGATAATAAGATCAACACCTCAGATTTCTTTCATTCTGTAGTTAGCTTATTTATCTCTTCCCATTTTTATCTTTTTTAACTTTAAATCTTCTTTTAAAATTTTAAATTCAAAGCTTTATCTTAATTACCATTATTTAATATATATCTTCAAATAATTTCTTTAGAAACTATGACATTACTAGCATGTTTCAAAGATATTCTAAGGCCAAAAAATTGAACTTTTGCTTTTTTTAAAGATTAACTTATTTATTTGAAAGGCAGAGTTACAGAGAGGTAGAGGCAGAGAGAGAGAGAGAGAGAGAGAAATTTCCATCCGCTGGTTCACTCCCCTAATGGCCACAATGGCTAGAGCTGGGCTGATCTGGAGCCAAGAGCTTCTTGTGGGTCTCCCATGTGGGTGGCAGGGGGCCAAGAACTTGGGCCATCCTCCACTTCTTTCCCAGGTACATTAGCAGGGAGCTGAATCAGAAACGGAGCATCCAGGACATGAACTGGCGCTCATATGGGATGCCAGCACTACAGGCAGTGGCTTAACCCACAATGCCACAGCACCAGCCCCAACCTTTTGCTTTAAACGTCATATATAAATGACATATTTGGGGTGTAGATGGCCTTTTCTTCAGAGCTGTCTACTTACACTTTGATGTTGGAGCTGACTTTTGGAAATGTAGATTTCACCCTCCGCCCCCAGGCCTGTTGTTGGTTGTATTTGTAAGGCACCTGTGTAGGTGGTAACAGTGGGAATATAGGTCTTTCTTTTGGTACTTCCCACTGTGACTCTACTTTCTCTAGGTATCCTCGGAAGAAGTTCTGGATTGAAAAGCCTATCAGTCCTGCAATCAAAAAACGAGCAGAAGAATTTTCAGATAAACTTGCTTCTTTAGAGAAAGGACTCAGAGGATTCCATGGTAAAGGAATGGATGAAGGAAGATGTTCTGAGCCTAGAAATCTTCTTTCATTTTGATACTTCTTTTGATGTTGGTTCTAACCTTAACTTTTAGAATTTCTTGCTCTTGTGCATACCAGGCAGAAACATTGGGAAGGGAATCTAAGTCTAAACCAGAGAATCCTTCCACACAACAGTCTAAAAATGTTACTAAGACTAAGGTAGAATTATAAGTAAATAGGCCCCAGAGTTGGTTTAAAAATAAGATAATTTATAAGTAATAGTAGAAATAAAAATATTGGGAGGTTAAGGAAAACAGCATGGCAGTTCCTCAAAGTAATTAAAAATAGAATTATTACATGATCTGTTAATCACATTTCTGAGTATATATCCCAGAGCTGAAGGCAGGATCTTGAGGAGACGTTTGCACATCCATGTTTCTAGCGGTGTTAGTGCAATAGAGGTGCAAATGTCCACTTGTAGAGGAATGGATAAAGGAACTGTGGCATACACATACAGTGGAATGTTATTTCACCTAAAAAGGGAAAGAAATTCAGATATGCTCCACCACAGATAAACCTTGAGAGCATTTTACTAAGTGAAATAAACCAGTCACAAAAGATAATAATACTGTATGATTCCACTTGGCTGTCATTGGTACAGAACCTGAATGACTCACTTTCAGCTGGTCAGCTCTGGGTGTCTCCTGCACTGATTTCTCTGTTTCATTTGCACTTCCATGGGTGTCCTGTCATCTTTTAAAACTGTGTTAGTCAGGCGGCTCACTAGGCTAATCCTCCACCTGCGGTGCCGGCACACCAGGTTCTAGTCCCGGTTGGGGCGCCGGATTCTGTCCCGGTTGCTCCTCTTCCAGGACAGCTCTCTGCTGTGGCCCAGGAAGGCAGTGGAGGATGGCCCAAGTCCTTGGGCCCTGCACCCGCACGGGAGACCAGGAGAAGCACCTGGCTCCTGGCTTTGGATCAGCACGATGCGCCGGCCTCAGCGGTCATTGGAGGGTGAACCAACGGCAAAAGGAAGACCTTTCTCTAGGTCTCTCTCTCTCACTATCCACTCTACCTGTAAAAAAAATAATAATAAATAAAAAAATTTTAAAAAAAACCTGTGTTAGTCAACAGTAAGAGAACTTGACCTAGAAAGACGTAGTGTTAGAATTGTTTACTGTCTTTTTCTCCATTCACTCTAGGAAAGCTGATGAGAGATCTGGAATATAAAACAAGTAAGTATTGGGGAGGGGGGCTTACACTGTTTTGTTTTGCTCTAAAGAGAAATTTCTCACCTGAAATTTCCATTTTTTCTTTGTGAAGCTCCTTTACCTGGATCATCTCTCTAAACAGGAAGGCCTGTGTAGTGCCTATCTGTTAACTGATCCCTGAGTTTTCAAACCCAGGAACTTTTGGGGTGCTTTCCCCAGATAGAATGACTCCAGTCCTTCCCTCTTTCTCTTCACAGATATCATCAAGCTGCCTGTGCCCTTGAATTGTCTTCCCACATTCTGTCCATTCTAGATATGGGAGCTAACAGTAGTGTGAGCACAAGGTCTAAGGCATTCTTTGTCCTGGTCCCCAAAGGGTGTGTCAGCATTGTCAGAAAGGCCCCAGAGCATATGGGTAAAATATCCTTTGGTATATTTTATGATGCCACATTTTTATCCCCTGTCCTTACAGTGAAGATCATCCTGAATTCTCAGACAGCCAATGGCTACCTCTCAGTGTCTCCAAATGGGAAGAGTATGATATTCACTGGCTTATGGATGAACAAATACCAACATGGTCAGCGATTTGATCCTGAGCCTGCTGTGCTGGGCAGCAATGGCTTCACATGGGGCAAAGTGTACTGGGAAGTCAAAGTGAACAGAATCTGGTGGGGAGCAGAGGAGGAAGAAGAAGCAATGCGGTACAGGGGTGGAGCCAGAGGTGTGTTTGGCAGTAGCTATTTTAGTGGATTCTTAGGCATCACTGATGAATATGGTTCTCCTGGATATAGAAATGAGAATGAAGAGTTGGAGGAGGAAAATGGACTATGGTCCAAATTCTGCATAGTAGGGGTGGCAAGAGAGTCAGTGGTGAGAAGAGGATTTCTCAACTTCACCCCTGAGGAGGGATTCTGGACTCTGCAGCTCTCTTCAGCTGGGGTCTGTGTATGCACTGGCTCTGATCCCTTCCAGATTCTGTCCTACTGTCCAAGAATGATTGGAGTTGCTTTGGATTATGATGGAGGGAAGGTAACCTTTACCAATGCCAGAACTCAAGAGTTCATCTACGAATTCTCATCTTCCTTCACTGGGAGAATTTTTCCTTTCCTGTGGCTTAATTGCATGAGATCCAGACTTACACTGAGACCCTGAGAAGTGACATGAGGGGCACAGTCTATCTTTACTTTTTCTTTTTTTCTCTCTTTCTTTCATTTGTCCCTATTCTTCTACATCATTCTTAACTTTTTACTTTAGCTAGATTGTCCTGATGGGTTTCCAGATTCCCTTAGCTGACCAGAGCAGTGTGGTAGAGTCAGGAATCTCTTGCCCTCTCTGCTTTTGTCTCTAAAATGGGAATGATAATACTTGATTTGCTTTATCTATAGTGGAAAGGTTGTAATTCATTAAAATAATTATTAAAGTACATGCCATTATTAATTTTTTTCTTGTTGCCTTTGATTTAGTCCTTGTCTTTGTCTGCCACTGAGACAAATGATGAGGAATACCTGTGTCATAGGTTTGAAGCCTCTGCCACTAATAGGAATTGACTACGACATCTGAGACAGATCTCTCATCAGCTGGTTCACTCCCCAAAATGCTTACAACAGCAGAGCCTGGGTCAGGAGGAAGCCAGGAGACTTAAGCCATCACCTGCTACTTCTCAAGGTATGCATTAAACAGGAAACTGGAACTCAAACCCAGGCACCTCAATTATAGGATGTAGGCATCCTAAGTGAGGTCTTAACTGCTGAACCAGATGCCCACTCCTCTCTTCCTCTAATTGTAAGACCATTAATGGCAACATGGGTAATTACCTCCAAAAGGCCCCACCTCCTAATATCACTAACATACGAATCAGAGGATTCATTTTCAATACATGGACTTTGGGGGGACATAAACAAACCACAGCATGGGGAAATCTGCTCTGATAATTTACCTGTATAGTAATGTTTTTTTTTGAAAAATCAGACCAAACAATACAAAATCTCTGTAGCCTGTATCTATATCCATCAGTAAAAGTAAGTAGAAGTCCACTGCCATTGCTTATGCTCAAATGCTTGATATTGCAAGGTCGAGGCCATTTACAACCACATTTTTTCACATAACAAATAGCCAACAGTTTTAACTAGTATATTTTATGTGTTTAGCTGTGCATATTTAGTAACCAATAGGACCCAAGGAACAAATTTTATGGGTTAAGGATTCAGATGTCCCAGTGAGTTTGGTTAGAAATAAATGAGAGCAACCAGCTCTGTGGCATAGCAGGTAAAGTCGCAGCCTACAGCACTAGCATCCCATATGGGCACTGGTTTGAGACCTGGCTGCTTCACTTTTGATCCAGCTCCCTACTAATGTGGCTAGGAAGGCAACAGAAGATGGCCCAAGTGCTTGGGCCCCTGAACCCACATGGGATACCAGAAGAAGATTCTGGCTCCTGAGTTCAGCCTGTCCCAGTCCCAGCCATTGCTGCCATTTGGGGAGTGGCAAGACCTTTTGCTCCCTCTCTCTGTCTTTGCCTCTCTCTGTAACTCTTTTAAGTATATAAAATAAATCTTTAAAAAAGAAGGAAGGAAGGAAGGAAGGAAGGAAGGAAGGAAGGAAGGAAGGAAGGAAGGAAGGAAGGAAGAGAAAGAAGGAAGGAAGGAAGGAAGGAAGGAAGGAAGGAAGGAAGGAAGGAAGGAAGGAAGGAAGGAAGAAAGGAAGGAAGGAAATAATGAGTTGCAAAAAACAAGGCCAGTTTAGCAAGACAGTGGTGAGACTGTTCTTGTTTAGAATCTTTTGTTACTCCACTGATCAAAAATTGGGGAAGCTGAGAAACAGGATGACCAACAAGTACAGAGACTCAATATGAGTCTCCTCTTCAATGTTCTTTTGCTGAATATTTCCTTGAGATGCACGCATCTCCACATTCTGGGCCTGTTGCGAGAATTCTACGCATATGTATGTCTCCAAAACTCCTGCGACCAGTTGTTCTTCCACATACTTGGACTCTGGCCAAACATTTGGTTACTACCTAAGTTTATGTAAGACCTTAACATCAGACCATTGTTTACCCTGTAGGCAATAAATTGTACCTTTCAACTTTCTGCTCAATGTGATGTTTCTACTTCCCTGTTTTTCTTTAGCAAAGAATGTATCAGTGGAAACCTTAATTTCTCCTGTGCCCAGGAGATTTTTTGAGAAAGCTTTGCAAAACAAAAAATATTTCCACACTTATACCCTCTTGGTGGGAATGTAAATTAGTGCAGCGGCTGTGGAAAACAGTGTGGAGATTTCCTTAAAAACTAGAAATAGACTTGCCATATGATCCAACAGTCTTTAACAGAATGAATCAGAGATACCAGCACCACCATGTTTATAGAAGCACTGTTCACAGCAGCCAAAATTTGTAGTCAACCAAGGTGTCCATCATCAGATGCATGCATACAGAAAACGTGGTGTATATACATGATGTAATATTATTCAACTATAAAAAAGGGGCCATCACTGTGGTTATGTATTAGGTTAAACCTCTGCCTGTGGCACTGGCATCCCATATGGGCACCGGTTGGTGTCTCAGCTGCTCTTCTTCCGGTCCAGCTCTCTGCTATGGCCTAGGAAAGCAGCAGCAGATGTCTCAAGTGCTTGGGCCCCTGCACCCGCGTGGGAGTCCCAGAAGAAGCTCCTGGCTCCTGGCTTCAGACTGACCCAGATCCATCCATTGTGGCTATTTGGGGAGTGAACCAGCAGATGGAAGACTTTTCTCTTTGTCTCTCCCTCTCTCTGTAACTCTACCTCTCAAATAAATAAACCTTTTTAAAAAATGAAATTCTACCATTTGCAGCAAAATAGACACAGCTCCCTCTCACTGTCTGTAACTCTATCAGGCAAATAAATAAATAAAGTATTTTTTTAAAAAAAACCTTTGTTTTATACTTTTGTCAAACCAATGATTAACAATATTATACTAACATAGTTTTCATGATCTGTGGTTCCTTTAAAATTTATTGTATTTGGGTGAAATTTTCATTTTTCCATTCAATTATTGTTTATAACCATTGTCTATATCCCATGGAACTAGGGTTTTTTGCTTTTTACTTGTCAAATTTCTTATTTGGTGAATTATTAAGCCTTTTACTATAACATAAATTTAAAATGTTATCTCAAAAACTAGAAAAAAGGAGGGTGGGAAAGAGGGAGAAAGGGAATATCATTATGTTCTTAGAATTGTATCTACAGGAGCTGGTGCCATGGCACAGTAGGTTAATCCTCCACCTGCAGCACCAGCATCCCATATGGGTGCCGGTTCTAGTCCCGGCTGCTCTTCTTCCAATCCAGCTTTCTGCTGTGGCCTGGGACAGCAGTAGAAGATGGCCTAAATCCTTGGGCCCCTGCACTCACATGGGAGACCCGGAAGAAGCAGCTGGCTCCTGGCTTTGGATCGGCGCAGCTGTGGCCATTGCGGCCACCTGAGGAGTGAACCAACGGACGGAAGACCTTTCTCTCTGTCTCTCCCTCTCACCGTCTGTAACTCTCTCAAATAAATTAAAAAAAATTTTTTTAAATAATTGTATCTACAAATCACATTCAATCTGTTAAAATCTACTTTAAAATTTAAAATAAAAATTTGTTAAAAGAAACAATTCCAATCATCTACCAATTCCTCCAGAGACATAGAAAGAGTTAGTATTCCCCAGCTCATAACCTTGATAACAAAACCTGTGAAGCACAATACAAGAGGAAAATACCTGGAAAATTTTACAAGCAAATTCCTAAGAAAAATATCAGCATATGGAATTTTGCAATATACTTAAGTATAAAAATCACACAGCTATCACTTCATTCATCAGATATCAATTAATGTAATTCATCACCCTAAAAGATATAAGAAGAATTTTACTTCAATAGGTATAGAAAACAAAAGCAACAGGGAGGGCATTGTGGCCCAATCTGCTTGGGACACCTACATCCCAACACCAGAGTGCTAGTTTGAGTCCTATCTACTCAGCTTCCAATCCAACTCCCTGCTAATGTGCCTGGGAAGCAGCAGATGATGGTTCAAGTACTTGGGTCCCTGCTACCCATATGGGAGAGCCAGACAGAATTCCTGGCTCCTGGCTCCTGCCTCTGGTCTGGACTAATCCTAGCTGTTATAGCCATTTGGGGAATGACTCATTAGATGGAAGATGTCTCTGTCACTCTTCCTTTCAAATAAGTAAATAAATCATTTTAAATTTTGCTAATCAATGTGCCTTCATGGTTAAGAAAAAGGTTTTTTCAAACTAATGGAAATAAATTTCTTTAAAGTGATACAGCCTGACTTTATGCTTGAATATAAATACATAGGTTAAATACAAAATAATGTAGTTTTCCTTTGGAATACACTGTATTAAACCTGTTAAAAAATTGAGAACATTTAAAATAAATTTATAAACAATCCAAAATCACTTGATTTGTTTCATTTATAAGGAACCCATAAAACTTAAGTCAAATTTGGAGCACAGTTAAATGATGGTCTGGGACTTCAGCCCAGCCTCCTAGCTCACGAGGCCAGGGGATCCAACTTTAGCAGAAAGACTGCTGTTGTAAATCATTTCCCCAGAACAGCGGGGACGTACAAATGTGGCTGGAAGGAGGACAGCACCTCAGTAGGTGAAGGGAGCTGATTTTCCTCACCTTCCAGCTCTTCTCTCTCCTTGCCTACCCTACAACCGAAGAGGAGAAAAACACACATTCACCTGACAGATTCAGCAAGTGCATCCTCTTCCTGCGTCTGAGTGCAGGGAGTATTTTATTTTGATTTGATAAATTTCATTGCATTCTAAAAATGTCTTTCCTGGTCTTCTATGGATTTTCATATATAGATGTCTCCTTTGATTTTTTTTTCTACATGGCATTAAATGAGTTGATTTTATTTTTTCTTTTCCAGCTCAAGGTCCTGTGCTTCCTCCATTCCATGACTTCCTTCTCTTATTCAATATGTGTTGTTCACGTATTCCAAAATTCACAATTTTGGATATACACACAATTCTCTAACTTGTTTTTTTCTGAGATCTGTCCATGTTGATACGGGTTTAGTTCCTTTTAACTTAGTGATGTATTGAGTGATGAAATATTAACTCTTCTAGGTATTTTGGTAAAGGAAATTTATAGGCCCCATAATCTTTACAGCCCCATTAACACAATAACAGGATAGGTAACACTGGAATCAGGTGATGGTTAACAAAAACCCTGAAGAGCTGTGAGGACACTGGTGTCTGTTTTTCCCGTGAGACTGCATGTGAACAAGGAGTGCCTCTTGGTGAGGTGGCCACAATGCTTTGTTCCAGGGATGAGGAACAGTGTAGTGAGAATTAAAAATACCTGTAACCTTGGAGAAGGAGTAGGAACATGTGCTAGGCTCAGAACTACAGGGGGGAAAGGCACACCAGAGAACCATCATCCTGATCCAAAACTAACCAAAGAAAAACATCACTGGGAAGAAATGGACAAGTATCCCTCAGGAACACAGACACAAACTATCAGGAAATCAAATTTTAAAATTCATAGCAACAAACACATCTCTGCACATCAGTTTTATTGTTATCATAGGAAAGCAAGTTTGGTTAAACACTTGTAAAACACACAATTCACCAAAGTATTAGAATGAAAAACAAAAGCTATACATTCATTACAATGGATGCAGAAAAACACCTGTCCAAATTCAACATCATTTCATGATGAAATTTCTAGCAAACTAGAAATAGCAAGGAACTTTTCAACCTGGCTATAGACATCTACTCAGTGATCAAAGGCTCAATGCTTGCTTCCTAGAATCAGCAACAAAGCAGATATCTGATCTCACCATTTAATCAGTCTTGTTCTGGATGCCCTAACCAACGCAAAAAGTACAAACATGAAATTAAAACTTCTAAATAGACAAATAAATCTGCCCTTCTGTGCAGAAAGCATGATAATTCATATTAAAAATCTTTCAGCACTCCCAAAAGTTACTAGGATTAATAAATCAACTTAGCAGGGCCACAGATTAATATGGTTAATACACTAAAATCAATTTTATTTTTATGTACTAACAACAAGCAATTGGGAAATATTTCCATAACCTCCATTTACAATAACATCAACATTTTTTCAGCTAAAAGCAATGCAGTATCCTGGATTTGATCCTGGTATAGAAAAGAGTTATTGGTAGAAAAACTAGTAAAATACAAATAAACTATTCAGCTTATTCAGTTATAAAAGTGATCATTTCTTAGTTATAACAAATATTCAATGGTTATTTAACATGCTAAAAATTAGAGAAAATAGGGCAAAGACTAAATGGAACTGATATAGGCAGGCAGATTGAACAAAACATATTAATTCTGTAAGCTGGAAGACCACGCCTTCACCACGCCCTTGTGTGATCTCATGTCCCTACCTGATCACACTTGGGCGCCCACCTGCCCACCAGACCATATAACCACTCCCCTTTGAAAAGCATATAAAAGGCTAGGAATGCCCCAAAATCGCTCTCTGCCTCTGCTCCGCTGCCCATGATAAGCTGTTAATAGCTGCTCAAAACTCTTGCTGCACGTGGCTTTTGGCCTGCTTTCTGCTTGGTGTGAACTCCAACCTAATCTCCAGACTTTCACTTCTCCCTTAGATTAGATAACGCCCTCACTCTCCAATGCATTTCTCTCACTGAATAAAAAGCTAAAAAATGTATCATGCTGTCTCATTTATTTGCGCCAGTATTCAGAATTCTCTGAATTCATGGCAAGAACCCAAAAGGCTTATTAATATTCTAAATTTATTAATAAGCACCTGGTAACAGAATCTTCTGTACTATTTTTACTACTTCCTATAAATCTACAAAAAACCTTACTTAGAAGTAAAAAAAAAATACTTAGAAACAAATTTAATTAAAAAGATACAAGTCCACCCTCAAAACTACAAAATAGTGCAAAAATAAATAACAAGACATAAAGAACAGAGGGCCATACCATGTGTATGGATTGAAAAACTCGATATTAATATGAAAATTGGGGCCAGCACCGTGGCTCACTTGGCAAATCCTCCACCTGCAGCGCCAGCATCCCATATGGGTACCGGGTTCTAGTCCCGGTTGCTCCTCTTCCAGTCCAGCTCTCTGCTGTGGCCTGGGAGGGCAGTGGAGGATGGCCCAAGTGCTTGGGCCCTGCACCCACATGGGAGACCAGGAAGAAGCACCTGGCTCCTGGCTTCGGATCAGCGCAGTTCTAGCCGTGGCGGCCATTTGGGGGATGAACCAATGGAAGGAAAACCTTTCTCTCTGTCTGTCTCTCTCACTGTCTAACTCTGTCAAGTAAATAAATAAATAAAAGAAGATGAAAATCATCCCTACATTGATCAATTTTATTTAATGTTTCCAATTAAAAGCTAAATTTACAAACGAAAAGAACCGTCCAGTGCAGCTTCAATCAAGCTCTCTCTACTTGAGTGCAAACACTAACATAGAACATGACCATAAAAAGCAGCAGCCATCCCTCTGGATCCAGGCTGGAATGTCAGCTGGAAGCACCTTCTCCACATAGCCAGCTTTCCGCAGCCCACAGAAGCTGCATCTGACAAAGAGGACCTGAGGTAAGGCAGCAGGAATGAGGAACAAGTAGCAAATCAAAATGGGCGTGGCTTCCAAAAGGACTTGTTGAATGGCTCAGTGCCTTCTGTTTAAGTTCATGTTTGATTCAGGTTGTAAAAGAGGAAGTTGTAACCCTTGCAATGTTTTATATCAGACTGATGATGGTGGCGGGAAGGCTAATATTTACCCTCACAGTGGAGGGCAAAGAAAAAAAAATTGAGAATTATTTTATTAAAAACTACAAAGCAATCCAACATGTAAGTACAAAAAGAATGAAAAATTCCCAAATCAAATACAGTTTTAAGGTTTCTGTAGCACTTACCATTAAGGCAGTCTGCATTCTCACACACTCAGTATGAAATAGTTGATGAAACATAGGATATTATCTTTTTTATTAACCCCCCTCCCACCTATAATCTCCCAAATCCTCAAGATGTGATAGCCACCTCACTTCCTCTGGAAAGTCACTCATTATCTAATTCATGTCTTAAAGATGAATGAGTCAATGTGCCTTATCAGATTAAAAAAAAAAAAAAAGTCCCCATGAGTGACAGCCCAAGGGAACAGGATCCTAGCCCCTCTGCCTCCACAGTCCCGGGCTTCTAAATGCCTGTAAAACTACCAACCACAGCCCACCCTCGCTCAACGGCTCACCCACGGCTTTATGTTGCTTTACTTCCTAAAGCAAACAGTCTGGGTTAAAGAATGACAGAACTACTCTCCCTTCAGATGAAGTCCTTCGTGGTTTATTTTTTAATTGACATGTTTGCCAGAGACCAGCTCCAGCTGGTCCAGGGGTCCCAAGGTGTGAGAGGTGTTGGCACTTGAAATGAGAGACACACTCACAGCAAGGCTGATGGCATGGCTCTGGCTCTCAAGCACCAGACTTTATATCATAAGTCACACAATGATTCTTTCTTCTTACAATAACAAGTCTGTTGTTCACTTTCATCTAGTGAGAATTTCTTTGATTTTCAAGGACATACGCAGAGCATGGGTTACTATGACAGGCAGGTGCGAGATTACGGGCTGCCCACAAAAGTCAAGACCTGGAGTGCTGCTGAGCTATGCAGAAACTGATTACAGAAGCTAGAATATTACCTTCCTACTCTAACCTTTACTAGAAGCCCCAAGTTCAAAGCATGCCCTCTTTTAAATGTATCCCCTCTTTGCAGTTCTTTCGGTAACTCTTTAATTGTTTATTGAACTTATCTAAAGGTCCCTTAGATCTATTCCACAGTTTTGACATCCTAACCATTGCTATATTTGTAGCACATATTGAATTAAAGCTTTAATAACACTTATCTTTATTCTAGTGGGAAGTATATACCAGGGAGCCTGTTGCCTTTTAATTCTTTTACACAACAGCTCAACCTTGTATAAAGCACCAACCCCTTCTCCTACACTAACATTCTGCTTGATTAAAATTCTACAAAGCAATGGACATTTTGGGGATTATGAGACTAAGCATTCTTCCCTAAAATTAGGAATACAGCAATCATTAGCAGGACCACCAGGAAGCTCCAGCTTGCTTATGCAGAGTGTAGTTCCCAACAAACCTAAAACCGCCAAGAGGACCTCAGCTGTCATTCTCACGCCTTGCTGAGACAGACCTTCTGCTGTGACCTTGTCAGCCAGCCGAAGTTGCCTTGGCCTCGCCACGTGTTGATTTTTAAATTTTTAGAGAAAGACATAAGACGTAGAATAGCTAATTTTGAAAAAACTAGAACAAAATTGGAAGGCTTTTATTCCAAAACTTACTATGAAGCTATAGTAATCAACAGAACATGGAATCAGTTTAAAGTTAGATATCTAGATCACTGTAGCAGAAGAAGATCCCATTGTGGCACCACACTATTATTTTCAATGGGCTTTCAACAAAGGTGCCAAGATAATTTCACGGAGAAAAGACTCTGTTGTTATTATTTTCGACAGGCAGAGTGGACAGTGGACAGTGAGAGAGAGAGACAGAGAGAAAGGTCTTCCTTTTGCTGTTGGTTCACCCTCCAATGGCTGCCACAGCCGGCGCACTGTGCCGGCGCACCACGCTGATCCGATGGCAGGAGCCAGGTACTTATCCTGGTCTCCCATGCGGGTGCAGGGCCCAAGGACCTGGGCCATCCTCCACTACACTCCCTGGCCACAGCAGAGAGCTGGCCTGGAAGAGGGGCAACCGGGACAGAATCCGGCGCCCCGACCAGGACTAGAACCAGCTGTGCCGGCGCCGCAAGGCGGAGGATTAGCCTAGTGAGCCGCGGCGCCAGCCTGAAAAGACAGTTTTCAATATACGCTTATGGATCATCGGGATATCCGTTTCGAAAAAAAGAAATGAAGCTTGGGGGCCTGTGGGTTAAACCCTGCCTGCAGTGCTGGCATCCCATATGGGCACCAGTTTGATCCTGGCTGCTCCACTTCTGATCCAGCTCTCTGCTATGGCCTGGGAAAGCAGTAGAAGATGGCCCAAGCCCTTGGACCCCTGCACCCATGTGGGAGACTGGGAAGAAGCTCCTGGCTCCTGGCTTCAGATTGACACAGCTCTGGCTGTTGCTGCCAATAGGAGAGTGAACCAGCGAATGGAAGACCTCTCTCTCTCTGCCTCTCCTTCTCTCTATGTGTAACTCTGACTTTCAAATAAATAAGTCTTAAAAAAAAAAAAAAGACTACATTGTATATGTTTCTCAGGTTTCCTGTCTCCCCTTCCCAGGTGGCTGCATCAGCCAGAGCTGCAACAATCCAAAGCCAGGAGCCAGGAGCTTCTTCCAGGTCTCTCACGTGGGTGCAGGGGCCCAAGGACTTGGGACATCTTCTACTGCTTTCCCAGGCCATGGCAGAGAGCTGCATCGGAAGTGGAGCAGCCGGGTCTCGAATCCGCGCCCGTATGGGACGAGGGCACTTCAGGCGAGGGCGTTAACCCACTGTGCCACAGCGCTGGCCCCTCGGTGTTTACATTCTTATGACTACACAAATGCTAGAAACAAGCAGATTAGTAGCTATAATTACTTATCTTTTGTTTAATTGACTTTTTCATTTCCCTGGAGTTAACCAATGTCTGTTCCTTAACTTGGTTAGTTTCTTTTGTACTCATTACTAACTTTCTCCCAAACTCACTTCTAGGATCTGCTCCATGGTTAGAATGTGTCTATCAAAGTCTGTGTGTTGGAAACGTGATCCCTGATGTGGTGGTGTTAGGAGATGGGGCTGATGGGATCTGTGTGGGTCCAGAGGGTTCCACACTTGCTAACGTTGAACGCCATCAGGCCAGGAGCAGTGTTCCCACTCTGGCCTCTGTGGCCCCCTCGCTTGCACCCTTACCCCCAGGGCTGTGAGAGTGCAGGAAGAAGGTCCTTGCCAGAGCCTTGACCTTGATCCTGGAATTCACAGCCTGCAAAACTGTGACAATGAACCTCTGTTCTGTATCATTTACCCCGTCTGTGGCGTTATGCTAGAGTAACACAAATGCACTTTATTCTCATGAAGACATCCAAGCACATTCAGTGGCCCACCACGTCATCTTTGTGAAGGTGCCTGTCCCACAGCTCTGGCCGGGCCAGGCGTGGCCTCCATGCTTACACACCTGGGAAGGGCTGACATCATGGACCTCCTTCACTCTCCCTGAACAGCCCTTGGCTTCTCCCTTGTGCAGGCTCCCCGGTTGCCTTCATCCTGTTGGCTCCCCCTTAGGTTTTCTCCACCATTTTCATTTCCCATCATCCAGCATGAGGAGGTCTAAGGGACACGGAAAGTAAGACACTGACACCATAGCCTCTGAAAATGTCTGTAGGCTATCCTTGACTTATTCCAATTTTGCTCCATGTACTGAGCGGTTTTTAATCCCAAGAGGAAACACCTGAGGCAGTATAACTCTGTAAAGAGGAGAGGTTATTTTACTCACAGCCCTGGAGGCTCACGCACCAGGCCCTGGCACTGCTCCTCTGGCAAGACCTCATGGTGGAACACGATGACGGGCTGCCTGCAAGAGAGAGGAGAGACTATTTGAATGTGCCATGGGATATTCTAACGTGTTAAATCTTTTAAATGATTGTCATTTCTAAGTTGGTAGATATAACGGAAGACAAAATTATCCTTGGGGTTATCATTAATTCCAAAGAACACACAGAGATCCTAGAGCCAAAACGTCTGATACCTGCTGATTTAGCCCCCACGCCCTGCCTCGGGAAGGTGCTGCGAAAGGAGCCTTGGTGCCAGGTCCCATGGAAACCTGGGGTCAAAGTCTCAGATTCTGGCGTGGCGCTCAGGGTCGCGGTCCGAGGGCAGGGTTGGGCCGGGGAAGCCAAGCGGCGGGTAGTCCCCGCGTCCCAGAGTTTCACTTCCCTTCTCACAACTCGGGCCAGATCCTTCTGCCTGGACACTCATGACGCGCGCCCACGTCTCACTCCCATTGGACGTAAGGTTTCCAGAGGAGCCAATCAGTGCCGCCGGAATTCAGCTATAAAATCCCCGGAGCTGCTGGGACTCAGATTCTTCCTAGAACTGCAGTATGTTTTCCTTGATGCCTCGGACCCTCCTCCTGCTACTCGCAGGGGCCTTGACCCTAACCCAGACTCAGGCGGGTGAGTACGGGGTCGGGATGGAGACGGCCTCTGTGGGGCAGGAGCGTGGGGACCGGGCAGCGGCATCTCCTCAGCCCCCGGCCCAGACGCCACCACCTCGGCCGCGCCGGTCCTGCTCCCTCCCCTGACCCAGTCCCTTGTGCAGTCACCTTTTGCAGCTTCACTACCTTGAGTCCTTTGCACTTCGGACCCAGGAGTTCTGAGCCGGACCCCAACCCCTGTCGCCCGCAGGCTCGCACTCCATGAGATTTCTCCACACCACCGTGTCCCGGGCTGGCCTGGGGGAGCCGCGCTTCACTGCCGTGGGCTACGTGGACGACACGCAATGCGGGCGCTTCGACAGCGACGCCGCGAGTCCCAGGGCCGAGCCTCGGGAGCCGTGGGGGCGGCAGGTGGAGCCCGGGTTCTGGGACACGCAAACGCAGATCTTGAAGGGCGAAATGCTAAGTTACCTCGAGGTCCTGAACTCCCTGCGCATCTACTACAACCAGAGCGAGGCCGGTGAGTGACACGGGCCGATCCACGTCCCGGGTTGCCAGAGTCTCCTCAGAGCTTCACCCTGTGGCCCCAGGACGCGCGCATCTCCTTCACCCAGCAAGAGCCCGGGGATTCCCTGTGGCTGGGTTTCAGTTGCGGTGGGAAAAGGCGAGGACCATCATCATCTCTGGTCGGACTCTGGGGGCGGGGGCAGTAAGTGGGTGCATTTGTTTCTGGGTGGAGTGGGTGACTGGCTTGTGGTGCCCAGGCTGACCGCAGGACTGGCGGGGCCAGGGTCTCACACACTCCAGTCTATGTTCGGCTGCGAAGTGGGGCCGGATGGGCGCTTCCTCCGGGGATACAGTCAGTACGCATACGATGGCGCCGACTACCTTGCCCTAAATGAGCACCTGCACTCCTGGACCGCGGTGGACACCAGGCCTAACATCTGGAAGCCCGAGTGGGATGGGGAGCAGTGCACGTCCTTCTTGGAGGGCGAGTGCGTGGAGTGGCTCCGTGGGTTCCTGGAGATGGGGAAGGAGACCCTGCAGCGCGTAGGTACGTGGGGCCACGGGGCACCTCCCTATCACGGGTCAGTCTCCCAGCCCGAGTCTCACAAGAGAGAGAACAAGAGAGTATCCAGCTTAGAGCACTGCCTCCCTCAGCTCCGGAGGCGGAAGAATCCTGCTGGGTTTCCAGATCCTGTGTGAAGCAGTGAATCTGAGGGCCCGCGCTCCTCTCTGGGATTATTAAGGGATCCAGTCTCTGCCGTGTTGAAAAGTAAGAGGATCCCCGAAATTACTGAGCCGTATGACCTTCAACCTTGGGTGTCAGGGCCCCCACCCGAGGTCTCCAGAGGACTGATTTCCCTTTTCAGTCTTTGACCTCCACTCAGGTCAGACATGAACTCTCTGAGACCTGAGCTTCATACCTGGGCTCACTCTGATTCTAGAACTTTACAGGAATGGGCGATTATTCCAGATATCTGAGTCCAGCCTGGTGTCTGAGGTCTGCACTCACTGCCCCACTCCAAGTGTCCTGTCCATTCTTAGGATGGTCCTGGGGCTACTTCAGTGGTCCATGGGAGATTCAGCAAAACCTCTGAATTTCTTGAATCTTCCCCTCAGATCCCCCCAAAGACACATGTGGCCCACCACCCCATCTCTGACAGGGAGGCCACCCTGAGGTGCTGGGCCCTGGGCTTCTACCCTGCGGAGATCTCACTGACCTGGCAGCGGGATGGGGAGGACCAGACCCAGGACATGGAGCTCATGGAGACCAGGCCTGGGGGTGACGGAAGCTTCCAGAAGTGGGCGGCTGTGGTGGTGCCTTCTGGGGAGGAGCAGAGATACACGTGCCGTGTGCAGCACGAGGGGCTGCCCGAGCCCCTCACCCTGAGATGGGGTGAGGAGGGCAGGAGGGGCGGGGCCTCTGTGGGGAGGGCAGAGCCCTGCTGGGGCCTTTAGCAGGGGCAGGGCTGAGCCCTGGGGTCACAGCCCTCACCTCCCCTTCCTTCCCTCTCAGAGCCTCCTGCTCAGCCCACCATGCTCATAGTGGGAGTAGTTGCTGGCCTGGTCCTCGGAGCTGTGGTCACAGCAGCTGTGGTTGCATTTGTGATGAGGAAGAGGAAGAGGAAGAGCTCAGGTAGGGAGGGGTGAGGGCTGCAGTCTGAGTTTTCCTTGTCCCACTGGGAGCTGCTGCCTGCTTACTGGGAAGTACCAGTCATACATGTGCTTACATGCACGCACATGCTTATCAGGCTAGGGGCCCTGTTAGCTGGTGCTCTCTTACAAAGTGTGTATGAGAATGAAGGTGAAGCATCACCCTGATGACTGCCGTGATGGGGACCTGATTCCCGGCATTGGAGGTCGCTGGGGAAAGCCCCTTACTGAGGACAGACCTCCAGGGAGGTGGTTGCTCCATTCCTTCTCTTCTCCTGTCCTCCTGTTTCCTGATCTTGCCCTGGGCCTGCAGTCATGTTCTGGAAACATCCTTGGGGTCCAGGACCTCATGGCCTTGCCTTATCCTTGGCCTCATGCGTATTATGTTCATTCTACAGTTAATAATGGAAGGAGGTATGCTGAGTCTACAGGTGAGTGTGACGTGGGTGACCCCTGAGACTCCTGGGATGGTGTACCAGGAGCCCATGGGGGAGCACACCTGCCCCCCCATGATTCCTCCTGCAGCCACACCGCCTTGGGCTCTGACCAGATCCTGTTTTATTCCAACCCAGGCAGCGACAGCGCCCAGGATTCTGATACGTCTCTCACAGCTTCTACAGGTGAGAACTGGAGAAGGGTCAGGGCAGAGGGGAATTCTTCAGATTTGAATGTGAGTGTGTGGTGGGCTGGTCCAAATGTCACCACATACAGTGACTGATCTGAGTTGTTTCTCATTGTTTGCTGCTACAGCATGAGACATCCCTTGTGTGGCACTGCGTGACGCAAGCTTTGTTCAAATCCCGCCCAATCCGAGCATGGATTTTTTTTTTTTTTTTGACAGGCAGAGTGGACAGTGAGAGAGAGAGACAGAGAGAGAAAGGTCTTCCTTTGCCGTTGGTTCACCCTCCAATGGCCGCCGCTGCAGCCGGCGCACCGCACTGATCCAATGGCAGGAACCAGGATCCAGGTGCTTTTCCTGGTCTCCCATGGGGTGCAGAGCCCAAGCACCCGGGCCATCCTCCACTGCACTCCCTGGCCATAGCAGAGAGCTGGCCTGGAAGAGGGGCAACCGGGACAGAATCCGGCGCCCCGACCGGGACTAGAACCCGGTGTGCCGGCGCCGCAAGGTGGAGGATTAGCCTATTGAGCCACGGCGCCGGCCGAGCATGGACTTTAAGAGCTCCTGACTTCTCCTTCTCAGCTTGTATCTGAATGTGTCGGTGTGACAGTGCTCCTGTTGGCATGAAGTAGGATGCTGGGATGCTGGCCTTGCATGCCCACCAAAGCCTCCCCAACACTGACCTGTATTCTCTTCCCAACCAACTTCCTGTTCCAGCTACATGGGGCTGGGATGTCTCCATCGTTTTAACTATGAACTGCAACATTGGACTTCAACTTCTTACTTCCCTATTGGGAGTAAGAGTCTGGATATAAATATCCTTTTAAAATTCTCTCCTGAAAAGTTGATGGATTAATGAAAGGATAAGAAGAGCCTTCGAATTTTAGAGGTGAAACAAATGGAAGAAGACCAGAGCACCTCTGGGATCCATGTGTTTGCTATGCTGAGTCTGTTACAGGCTGGGACAGAAACTAAGGACTCTTGAGGAGGGGCCCAGTGTTGTGCAGCCGGGCCCAGTTATGCTCACTCCATCGTGGACTTTGACATAATCGCTTTGTAGCTGGCTCCTGGTTTCAGCCTGTTCCAGCCAGCACTGTTGCTGCCAATCGAGTAGTGAAGCAGTGAATGGAAAAATATCTCTCTCTCCTCATCTTTCTAATAAATATTTATTTATTTAAAAATGATTTGCTAAAAATTCAGTTCATTAGCTTTTGCTTTGATCCCCAAAAGAATAACAAAATTTGGATTTATTCTTATGCCTTAAATTCTACAAATTCAGGTATGCATATGAAAAAATAGACAGCTATCCACACAGTGGACAACAGGTATCCTCGTGTCACCTTTGCTGCCCCTTTGATCTTGTGCCACAGTAGTAGTTGTCCAGCCAGGATCTGTGATCTCGGGAACTCAGGATAAAGCCCAAGCCTTATTCTCACACTAGCACCATGGGCAGTCAGAGCTCGTGTGGGCAAGCCCTCAGCTCTAACCTTTTCAGTATTGGGTTCCATAGAGGACTATGCCTGCTCTTGTTATGAGCTAGGTTCCTTTCTTCTCCAGTAGTCTGCTGTCTCTGACAGCAGGGTGACTTGTCTTTCCTGTCTCACAAGGCCCAGAGTAGCCCCTGCTGACAGTAGTCCCTGTGGTGTCAAGACAGGACTTTTCAGACCTATTCAGCCCTTGTCCTTATTCTGGGCCTGTTTTCTGGGCTGTTCTTTCTGTCTTTCTCCATTCCTTTTAAAGGAACCAGAATCCGAGGCAGGTGCCTGCAGCATAGGCATCCCATGTGGGCACCGGTTTGAGTCCAGGCTGTTCATCTTCCAATCCAGCTCCCTGCTAAGGCCTAAGAAAAGCAGCAGAGGATGGTCCAGGTACTTGGGCTGCTGCCACCCCTGTGGAGGATCCAGATGGAATTCCTGGTTCCTGTTTTCAGCCTCTCCCAGCCCCAGCTATTGCAGTCATTTGGGAGTGAACCCATGGAATTAAATTTATCTTTCTCTCCCTGTGTGTGTGTGTGTGTTTCCCTGTCTCTGTCGCTCTGCCTTTAAAATAAATAAATCTTTATCAAAAATAATTGGCTATAAAAATTCAGTTCATTGGCTTTTGTTTTGTGACATGATAGAATAAGAAGAATTGGATTTATTTTTGTGCCTTAAACACTACAGACTCACATTGACATAGGAAAAAACAGACAAGTATCCAGACACTGGGCAACAGGAATTCTGATCTCTGAGAGAGAAGGAATTGAAAGAGGGAAGGGCTACAGTTATCCAGCTCCCTCCTGGACAGGTTTTGCAGGATGCAGTGAGGGAGGAGGAGCCCTAACAGCACAGCTGACTCACTGAGTGGAGGGGACAGAGGTGTGAATTTGGAGAAGCCTCAACAGTGAGAACATGCAAGATGAAGGCACAAAGAAAAGATAGAATACAGGAAAGGAAGTTGCATAGGGCCTCCCTGGGGTCTTCAGCTCATTATTTCATGCACGTAAGGGAACTAGTCTAGTACAGGGAAAGAATCACCTGAAGTCTGTAGGTAACAGTGCCCAGTGCTACACAGAGCTGGAAATAGTGCCTGTTCCCAGCAGCCAGAATGAGGCTCATAAATCGCTGGGATTCGACAGACTATTCGGAAGAGTTTTGAGTCAGGAGGGGTGAATAATTATCCCAGGAATAAACAGTTTATGCTTTTTCCAGCAAATATTAAAACCCCAAAGTCTCAAACATCTCCTGAATAACTTAAATTTTTCCAATAAGAGGTATTCAAGAATATTTATGGTATATTAATATCTCTTGCACATAACCTTGTAAAGTTACAATGTCTACTATCAAAATAATCAGGCATGAAATGAAAATATGAAAATACCACTCATAAGATAGAGAAAGGAAATTAATTTAAGCCAAGACTGACACAGAGGTTATAATGAGCAGAAATGAAAGTTTAATAGTTACTCTAAACACATTCCATAACTTCAAAAGTTTCAAAATAGACATGAAAGATACATAAAAAGGAGGTTCCAAGATGGTGGAATATGGAGGGAGCTTACTGATCTAGTCCAGGAGAAGACAGTTTTTTGTTTGTTTGTTTGTTTGTTTTGTACATTTTAAGCTTTTATTTAGTGAGAAAGATGCATAGGAGAGTGAGAGCTTTATTTAAGAGAGAGAGGTGAATAGGGGTTCATACCCAGCACCAGGAACCAGCCATGTGGATGAGCATCTAGGCCAGGAAGCCTAGAGCACATGGCCCGAAGGCCATTGCCCTGGAGGCACAGGGCTACAGCAAGCCCATCTCCTTTCAAGAGTCTAGGGAAGAAGAGAGGGCAGGAGAAGACAGTTTAATTAAAGTGGAGATGGTGTAGTCTCAGGGAAGAGTTAGGGAAACAATGGAAGAGGAATCTCTTCTGTAATTAGAGGAACTTGGTGGACCTATGTGGAGGGCATAGGGCATAGGACCTATGTGGAGGGTGCCCACGGCTCAGGACTCCAGCAGCCAAGAGCTCTGTTACCGCGCTGGAAAATGAGGTGAGATGAACTCGCAGTAGCTGAGACACTGGCAGAAAAGTGGCAGGAAGAGCCTAGAGGGAACGAGGCTTGAAGCCCCATAGGGGAAGTACACCTGCCTAACGAGAGGAGAGGAAAAATAAAAGGAACAGTACGGACACGATTCTGTCTCTCTCCACTCACCTTACAAAGCCATACAAGCAGATAGAGCAGGTGCCATTTTGGACATATGAAACAGCTGCACCAGCTCGTGTCTGTGCCCGGCTATCAGCTGAGTGGAGACTCCTGACTCCGATGGAGAGAGATAACAGGTGGCTAGAAACTGTGACTATGTGACGCTTCTGACCTGAGACTGTGAAAAAAAAAAAAAAGCAAAACTGAGGGAGTATGGGAGAACTCACAGTGTGGCTGAGACTTTGAGTAGTCTTGCAGAAGATGCCACAAGCTCGGTAAGCCCTGGCTACACAGTAAGAGACATTGCAGAGGAATTGGAATTTACACTGAGGACTACACAGATCCTTTGTGTGGTCCTTGGGACAGAGTAGATGAATATTATACCCACTGGGTATAATATTTGCCTGGGTAGTCAGGCAAATCCAAAAGAATTGAAATCATACCATGCTTCTTAGCACACAATGGAAGGAGGCTGGAAATTAGCAACTCAGGAATCTCTAAAGCATATGCAAACACATGGAAACCAAACAACAAGCACTTGAATGAAGAGTGGGTCATAGAAGAAATCAAAAGAGAAATCAAAACCTTTCTGGAAGCAAATGAATATAACAACGCAAAATATCTAAACCTATGGGATACAGCCAAAGGAGTATTAAGAGGCAAGTTTACAGCATTAGGTGGCTACATCAAGAAATTGGATACTCTATAGAATACTATACAGAAACCTGGTCATTTGCAACAAGATGGAGGAATTTGGAAAACATCATGCTGAGTGAATTATGCCAGTCCCAAAGGGACAAATATCATATGTTCTCCCTGATCGGTGACAACTAACTGAGCACCAAAGGGGAAACTTGTTGAAGTGAAATGGACACTATGAGAAACAGTGACTTGATGAGCTCTTGTCCTGACTGTTGATGTACAATGTAATACTTTATCCATTTTAGCATTTTTTTTGTTCTAGTACTATTGATTGAACTCTGTAATTAACACACAATTGTTCTTACGTGTTTAAATTTTAACTGAAAAGTGATCCCTGTTAGGAATTTGGAAAACATTATGCTGAGTGAAATAAGCCAGTCCCAAAGGGACAAATTTCATATGTTCTCCCTGATCGGTGACAACTAACTGAGCACCAAAAAGGAAACCTGTTAAAGTGAAATGAACACTATGAGAAACGGTGACTTGATCAGCCCTTGCCCTGACTATTGATAAACAACTTAATACTTTATCCCTCCTAGTATTTTTTGTTTGTTAGTTCTACTTAATACTTTTGGTTGAATCCTGTAATCAATACACAGTTATTTTTAAGTGTTGAAACTTAACTGAAAAGTGATTGCTGTTAAATATAAGAGTGGGAATAAGAGAGGGAAGAGATGTGCAATTCGGGACATGCTCAAGCTGACTTGCGCCAAACAGTAGAGTTAGAAACATACCAGGGGATTCCAATTCAATCTCATTTAGGTGACATGTACCAATGCCATCTCACTAGTCCCAGTGATCAATTTCTGTTCACAATTGATCATAATGATAGGACTAAGAGTCAAAGGGATCACATAAACAAGACTAGTGTCTGCAAATACTAGCTGATAGAAAAAAGGGAGAGAACGATCCAACATGGGAAGCAAGATACACAGCAGACCCATAGAATGGCAGATGTCCTAAACAGCACTCTGGCCTCAGAATCAGCCCTGAAGGCATTCAGATCTGGCTAAAAAGCCCATGAGAGCATTTCAGGCCTGGAAAGCCAAGTCACTGTGGCAAAAAAAAAAAAAAAAAAAAAAACAACCACCTAAATGAAAGATCTCTGTGAGTGAGATCCCAGCGGAAAGAAGTGGCCATCAAAGAAGGAGGTACCTTTCTCTGAAGGGAGGAGAGAACTTCCACTTTGACTATGGCCTTGTCTAAATAAGGTCATAGTTTGTGAACTCAGGAGGCTTCCATAGCCTTGGCAGTTCATGACAAGGGCCTCGGGTGATCACTCACGTCATAAATAAGCGTGTCAATTGTTCAATCAACAACAGGAGTCACTGTGCATTTACTCCACATGTAGGACCTCTGTCCTTAATGTGTTGTACTGTACAAATTAATGGTAAAACTAGTCTTCAAACAATTCTTTATACTTTGCGTGTCTGTGTGGGAGCAACCTGTTGAAATCTTTACTTAATATAGAGCTGATCTTCTGTATATAAAGATAATTAAAAATGAATCTTAATGAAGAATGGGATGGGAGAGGGAGTAAATGATGGGATGGTTTGCGGATGGGAGGGTGGTATGAGGGGAAAAACCTCTATAATCCAAGAGCTTTATTTTCAAAATTTATATTTATTAAATAAAATTTTCTTTAAAAAAAGAAAGAAAGATACATAAAAGATCAAAATCAAATTTGCAATGATGAAAATGCATGAGATATAAACACTGGATATCAGGTGCAGTTATTGGTAGACTGAATCATGGAAGAAAAGATTCCTGACCTTAAAGATGAACACATTGAAACTTTCCAAAACTACATGAAA